CTGTAGTCCCAGCTACTTGGGAGGCTGAGGCAGGAGAATGGTGTGAACCCGGGAGGCGGAGCTTGCAGTGAGCTGAGATCCGGCCACTGCAGTCCAGCCTGGGCGACAGAGCGAGACTCTGTCTCAAAACAAACAAACAAACAAAAAAAAAGTAAATGCAATAACCTGAGGCATTGTAGTTTACTTATATTTGGTTACTTGAGATTATCACATGATGTGATTTTCAGGTATTTGATATATTTTGAACTAAATGTGTTCCTTGGAGCAAATATTTTAAGAAGCCAAAGTAGTCTCATGTGTAATTTGAAACTAGCAGACATACCTGTTTTGGTTCTTTAGACATTTATTCTGTGTGGTACTAGATCATTTTGTGACATGGGGTACCTTAAATGGGAGAATACTCTTATCCACAAATTCTGGAATCTTATCCATGAAAATTGGAATTTTACATAGATTCATGCTCCAATATACATAATCATGATATCTATCTGTTCATCTATCATCTGTTTATCTATCTCAATGTCCCTAGTATAACTAATTTTTAAATTTCCCTTTCCGATCAATACAGGGCAAGGTGTGTGGTCTTTGTGGAAATAACAATGGTGATCTCAAGGATGATTTCACAACAAGATACTCTTCAGTAGCTTCTGGAGCACTGGAATTTGGGAATAGTTGGAAAACAAGCCAAGAGTGTTCAGATACAGTGGCTCAGACTTTCCCATGTGATTCAAACCCATACTGTAAAGCCTGGGCTGTGCGAAAATGTGAGATCCTCAGAGACAGCACCTTCAGAGACTGCCACAGCAAGGTAGCATTGTTCTGAAAGCAGAGACTTACACAGGGTTTCCTCCCAGAGACTCATGTGCTGTGCTCTGCCTAGGTTGACCCCAGTGCTTACTATGATGCGTGCATTGAAGAAGCCTGCGCATGTGACATGGAGGGGAAGTACCTGGGATTCTGCACTGCCGTGGCTATGTACGCAGAGGCGTGTAGTGCAGTTGGAGTTTGTGTCTCATGGAGAAAACCAAATCTGTGTCGTAAGTGAAGTCCATATGATGTTGTTCTTTCAAAATGTAATTAGATAGAAGTATTCTGTTAGACCCCCAGTCTTCCTCTCATATTTTCTATAAAACACATGTTTGTGTACCTAGAAACATGTTGATATTTTTGTTTATGGTGTGCAAAAATACCTAACTTAAAAAATAAAGCACCTGGCCCAGCGCTTCAAGTTCAATTTTAGTTTAAAAATTCATGTGTTCACAGGGGGAAAAATGAATACTGATGGAGAATATTTCTCATTCATACTTCGATGATGAACTGTTTACCTATCTTGGTATATTTACATATCCTTCAATATTTACCGAATATATTACTTTTGCTTAAAGTGCTCACACATGTTTCCTTGAAAACTTTCATAGAGCCCTATCGAAGATGAACTGTACATTGAGTATAGACTGAATCTCGATACATATGGAATGTAATAACCTTAATAGAAATGAGTCAGCTCTTTTCCTTCTAAGTATTATGAGAGAAAATATGAGAAGTGTTAAAACAGAACCCTCATTTTATTCAATTTTTTATGCACAGGATTAGATTATATTGACATCTTTAGTTACTTCATTTAGGAACTGTTATTTACATAATAAAGAGCTTAATTGTCTAGGATTTAGTTTTCCAATTTAAAGTTGAAATTGAAACCATGAATCTAGGCTATGACCTAAAATATCTCCAAATGATAAAATGAAAGTTTACCTGTTAAATCTCAAACTAACCAGAGTGTGAGATGGCAAAACAAAGTTTTATTTTGAGTTTATATGTCTACTCCCCTTGTGACCTATTTTGGCTTATATGACAGTTTAGATAAAGCCAAAGGAACTTGATAAGACCTGACATAGTTTAGGTATGTTTATTATTAATATCATCCCAAATCCTTTATTAAAATGCTTTGGAAAATGAAAGGTGAAAATTGTCATATAATGAATGAAAGTAATTTGATATAATTCAATTATAGCTGTCTACTGTGATTATTACAATGCACCTGGGGAATGCAGATGGCATTATGAACCTTGTGGCACAGTGACTGCAAAAACATGCAAAGATCAGGTCATTGGCCAGAAATTTTCTTCACTTTTAGAAGGTAACACATACTTTAAGAATATCCATAAAGTAGTGCAAATGCTATTCATCTTAACTGGAAAGGATTGCTTCTCCCAATTTAGTGTCTAACACTTGGTAATTTAATGAATAGTTATCTTTATTATGTCATTAATGTTTCTACATTAGAAACACTTTCTCTAAACATAAGCTTAGTGGGGGATGGGGACAGCACTCTGATCCTATTGTCACTTTTATATCTTTGATTAGACAATGTTGTTTAGTGTGAATGCAGTTTCAGAATGCAACATATAATACAATCTTGCTTGAGTAGTATAATTACTGTAGTAATGAACTATATCTTACACTTAAGCAGCATTTTATTCTTAGCATTATTTATTTCAGAGATAAACAAAAAACAGGCAAGAAAACAGTATAACATGAAACTCTTCCAAAAGTCACAACTGTGTTAAATCCTTTGGTGTATTTTTAGCTTATTTTGCTATGACTTTATCTTTACCTACTGTTGCAAAGACAGATATTTGAAACTGGCATTCACATTTCAGGATATGTATTTACCAGAGCCTATTTTATGTTACAGCATCATGCCCATTATGAAAGTAGCAAATCATTTAAAATTACTTCAAGAATCATTTTAGAAAAAAATAAATCAACCAAAATCTGTAAGTTCTTAGTCTGACATTTCACTGCAAGAAGATCTGAACCTTGTTTTATTTATATATTTTCATTATGAGTGTGATATTGTTTTGCTATTGTCTACTTCACTTCATGGAGTCATTTAAGTAACTTTACAAATATATAATATTCAGTATAATGAGTTTCAGTAGATAGAGATGAACTGTGGGTCATTTTTACACACAGGTTGTTATGCTAAGTGCCCAGATAGTGCTCCTTACCTGGATGAGAACACCATGAAATGTGTCAGTTTATCTGAGTGCAGCTGCTTCTATAATGATATCGTACCAGCAGGGGAAGTGATTGAAGATAATTGTGGAAGAACATGGTATATTCTCTACTAACTTTTCAATAAGCAATTTTGATTTTTGCCTTTTCATTTAGGAGGAAAACTAAATATGTGTATGAATATATTATGTTAATAATATATATGTCATGTATACATGTATATATATCTATAATTTTTGATCCTGCCATTTCTGAATGAGAAGGCCAGCTTTAGGTTCATTTTATATCAGTTATGTTAGTTATTTTTATTTTCAGATAATTCGCATGTCAACAAATGGTTTGTGGAATTTTATACTTAATAACGCAGAACACAGGACAGAAAATGTCATTGTGTAGTTGTAGAGGAAAAGAATTTTAATTCTTTAAATGTAAGATTATGTTCACAGGTTTTCAAACAGTTACATGGAAGCAAATTGATGGGTTCATAGTAGGTCACCACGGCCATCAAATAACATCGTGTTTGAAATTGACTATGTAAGAACTACCTTTAAGGGTTACCTGCACACCATTTCTTCAGGTGCCCGGAGCTCCTCAGTGAAATGATTGGGTATAGCAGCACATGGAAAAACAAGCAATTTGAATAGTATTCTCTTGGGGAAACAAATATTTACTTCTATTTGGTTCTGCTTGTTTTCAATCAGATAATTTGTTGTTTTAAATTTGTGAGCTGTATGCAATTAAGAGTCAAATTTTCCAATTCATTCTTTTTTTTTTTTTACATTTAACTTTCAGCTACTGTATTGCAGGGCAGTTGGAGTGCAGTGGTAAGTCATTAAATTTTACGCTAATTGATTTAGGAAAAATCAGAGGAGGGGTTGGGAATCATTTTTAGACTAATCACCAGAGGGGCAGGGACTTAAATGCATTAGGCTGTCCCTCAGAGGACTGGCACAATTCCATCTCAGAGCAATTGTCCATGATGAGTTGCTGTTGGAAACCAGTGCTGCCAAGATATGCTGAACGACTGTCAGATGGGGCCATGGCTGATACTCAGGGGGTGCAC